CAATTTCTAGAACCTAAAATCATGGGGACAAGAAGGTGACATCTTTAATAAAACGACAAATTCCTGTTGGCTAGATAACCTGACCTCAAAAATATGATTTTGAAAGTTAAATAACTTAGAATAGACTACTCTGTTAAAATTCTAGATAAAACGACAAATTCCTATTGGCTAGATGACTTAACCTCAGAGATGTATTATTAAAGGTGTATTAACTTAGGCGAGACTACCGTATGGGAATCCTATATAAAACAACAAATTCCTATTGGCTAGATCACTTATGAATAAAACTGTGATAATAACTGTGGTAATAGAAGTGAAATAACTTAGGTAAGATCAACATGTAAAGGTCCGATATAAAACGACAAATTCCTATTGGCTAGAGAACCTAACCTCAGCAAAGTGATAATAAAAGTGAATTAATTAAGGCGAGACTGCTTTGCTAAAATTCTATATAAAACGACAGACTCATATTGGCTAGACTTTTAAACCTGAAATTGTGATCAAAAGCAAAAGTCTTGAGGCGAGAATATTGTGGATGAGTCGTAAATAAAATAACAAATTCCTAATTGCTAGATTACTTAATCTCAAACTCTACCCCGGTTTTAAATTACTCGTAAATCTAATTTTGTATATGTTATTTATACGTTAGTCAGCTTAGTAATATAGTTTTATATTTTGATTAGTTAGTTCTTACCTTTGCCAGTATAGATTTTTATTGTGTTCCTTCTTCATCTACTGAAACTATAATTTTGTACTGGACATGTGTCCAATTTTGATAATCTGATGCTAACACTTAAACTTACTAATTTAATTTTCTTTATTTCCCTCAGGCTATTACGGCTCAAAGTGTTCCAACCAGTACACGGACCCTGCATGTACCCTGTCCGTGTACAAAATTTAATAACAATATAATGTTATTAAAAAATAAGTTTTATACAGAATCACGCACTAAACAGAAACTATGAAAGTCTTTCACAGAGTTCATGCAGTTTGTTAATATCTCAGCAACTCATAGTTAATATACTTTCAATAAGAAAGTCTAATCTTTCAAGCAGGAGTATAGCGTTATGAAAACCGTTGTATATTATTCAAACTATCGCAACATTAACTCAAATAAAAGATATACTGATAAAAATATACATGTTTAAACGTTTAGCCTAAAATAGGATAAAAATATTTTATAATCTCAGTTCTTATTGTAAAAAGTAAGAAAAAAAATACACAAAAAAATGGAAACCAATAATAAGTTTAAAAATGATCTGTTAAATTCTGACGTAAGATGCTAGCATCAGAGGGGATATCCATAAACATCTCAGTAAATATAAGGGGGGGAGGGATTAGGGTACTGAAACGTTTGACAAGAGTTGACGACGGTAAAGGGAGCACCAAAATTAAGACCAAAATCATGTCAATTAAAAAAAAAAGTTGGTTTTATACGCGCGGATTTTAAAAGTATTTAAATATTTAATGTGGTATAGAAAAGGCATATTTGTTTTGTGGGTAATTTGATGTAAGTTTATTAGAAATATAAAATAATTTGAAAATTTACCAACTTTTTATTATTGTATTACCATTTAACTGTAATTTAAATTGTTTACAAATATTAACTATTAGTATATAAATTTAAGAATTGTAATTCGCAACTTAGTGGATTATAAAATGTGCTTCAAAACAAACGCATAAAGTCATTTTTTATTATTTCAAATACAACTGTCTTTTAAGTGCATAAATAATTAAGTAATTATTTTAAGTACAAAACTTTGTTTTCTCTCCAGCGACTTGTAAAATGTGATGAAATGCAAACACATAAAGTCACTACTGCGAATACGAAACTCTAGTTGCCCTAAAGCGGCTTGAGGAAGTTCTTTCAAACAGCTTACAGCAGGAGCAAAATCATCATTTTGATTGTGATGTAAGTAATACTGATAAACCAATAACACATATATGTATAAAACAACGAATCTGGTTATGTCTCAAGAAGACAATAACAGTTTGGTTTGCTGAGAGCATTCACTACCTATTGTTACAATCGTAGATCACTTCAACAACCCGTGGAAAGATGACGAGTGATTGAATTTATATTACAGGTACAGAATAAAATTTGCTTAATTTGATTAGTTTGTTTATTATTTGATGAGATATTAAGTGTTCTATAATATTATTTGATAAGATCTACTACAAAATAAATGTATAACTTAACCAGAAACAAATCAATGCTGGTTACGCATATGCATGGTCACTTTAGGGAGGGAAGGGTAAAGACTGCGAAAACTGACATCATATATAAGGAAGGGAGGAGAAATTGGCCAGAAAAATAACAGAGTTTGACAAGGGGAGGGGTGAAAAATTGTTAGAAATCTCATACATCATTTATGGAATGTATGCCTTAGAAAAAAAAAACACTTTTTAATACTTTTTAGTTTTAATATAATATAAAGCATTAAATTATTTAGTTTTCAAATTGCACGAAACTTCCAAATTAAATTTTACTATAAAAAAACAATAGAACACGATAAAAGAATTTTTTTTTTATAGTCAAATTTTAAAAGATTCTTTTTTTTCGTTTGAAACTTGAATAAATTTTAGGACTTCAACGTAAATTTATTCTCCTATTAAAAGTCATTCCATATTTTATGTTCTCGATAAGATATACAAAATTCTGAGAGTTTAGTTCATTTCGGGGGCAACGTTGTTTTTGCTATTTGATCTTAGACACTTTTCATTTATAATTATTTCAAACTTGTTGTTGAAGTTTGCTGGCAAAAGTATTATCTATACAAAGTTAGATTCCGATTGATTTTATTTCAAATATACCCATCATTTTCGCATTTTTCACAAAAGGTTTTGCATGTTCTCGTTTTTGTTTAAAGTATATGATACGTCAAGCGTATTTTTGTAGCCTATACATTTTTAGACATTTTTTTGATTGCGCACTACCCCATTTTATGTTTGCATAGTCAATAAAACAGTGAACCAACCCAAAATATTATATTTTGAGACTTAAAATATCGACATATGATCGAACTCAATACATTACGCCAATAGTTTTGGTACTTTTTGACAGTTATTGACTGCAGATAATTTATATAGGGAAGCCAGGATAAATTATCGACTGCACAAATTCCTTAAAATTTTATACTTAGTTGGTTTTTAATTATTATATCTTTTAAATGAAGTTCGCTCAATTTAAGAGGAATGTTTAATTATTGTTGTTTTGCATGGAACAGAGCATAATCAATTAATAAAAAGTAATGATATGAATGATGTTGAATTTCTAATAAGTCTTTAGATTTTGAGTTTTCAATTTTTTTTATATTTTATTATTATCGAGTATTTGGGTTTTGGGATATTTGGGTGAAAACTAAACTGAATTTGCATCTTGTATTTTAAAACACTAATTGGTTTTTTTGAATACTATAAATGCAAATTTATACACATTGTTTTACTATTTGCGCTTAAAAAAATTCCTCACTTTTGGTTTCACATAATGGATGGTGTCCTTCAAATTTACCTAATTTAGAAGTAGTTTTATGCGACGTGTGTTTATTTTGTGTTACTTTAGTTAGAGTTAATGGTAGTTTTTAAAATGTTATAAAATTGGAGGCAAAAATTGCATAATAAGTCATCTTTCCTTGGTCAAGTGACCAGATGACAAATTCATGAAGTCTTTATTTTAATATTTATTTTAGATTGTTATATTTGCAAACTGAAAGTTCAAGTAGGTAATGAATCATTTTAATAACATAAACATATCGAGAAAGTATTATTGCTTCACAACTGATAGTTTTGAAATAACTCAGGGCTTTCAAAACGTTCGCTATGTTCATGTTCATGTTCGCCATGTTCAAGTTCATTCGCAGTTTTACTATTTTAGAATAGTTTTGCAAAGTTACATTATTTAATCATTCTTACTTATTTTTTTACAGCGTAAACCCAGTTTCTTTTTGGTATTTTGAGCAATTTTTATTTGTTACCATAGCAATAAGCAACCATTTTACATATCTTTTTTTGATAATAAAAGTTAGTCAATTTGTGTGGTTTTAAAACATGAGGGTAGTTGTTCCTTAAAAAAACACACGTTTGTAAAAGGTTCTAATGATAAGATCAGTACTATCTTCTTTTAGAAACCTTGTTTGTGTTTGTGAAAGCAATTTATTTACTACGACAACAAATGTAAAATAAAAATAATAAAAAATAAATTATCGCCATGATGAAAAATAAAGGTTACCTTTTTTTTTTTTTTTTTTTTTTTTACTGTTTAACAAATATAATCAACACATATATATACAAGAAAGAAAGAATTATGTCCGTATAACAAAGAAGACAGTAAAATCTTGTTATTAAGCACCGTTTTTATGTATATACAGTATATAAAATAAACTATACTTTTTTACAATGATCTTTATAAAATAAAGAGTTAAACAGACAGGGGCTCAAAGAAGATGAAGATGACAAAACGCAATCTTTTCATCGCAATCTTTTCATAGAGCCCCCTATACACATTTTCATTAGGTTATGGATATTAAATTAAATTAAAAACCCTAATGGGCATAAAACTGCTGCGCTGATCAATAAAAACTAAATAAGATTATAAAAAATAAATAAGATTATAAAGAAAATTACTTTGTAATCCTTTTAAGGGGCAACTACCCTCACATTTTTTTAAAAATTTGATTTTTTTTTTTAATAATTTTAGACCAAAATTTTATGCAGATTTTGAATCTGCAAAAAAAATCAAACATTTTTTTATAAATTTTTGTTTAATTTATGTTTTTTTGAACTCAAGTAAAAAATATTTGCATAGCAACGCGTTGCTATGGGGGCGAATATTTTGTTTGTGAACATATCCTGGAGTACTGTTTCAAATATATGTTTTGATTTATATCTTCTTCGCTAATTAATATTCTGTTCCTTATTATATGCCATTTACAATTGCTACTTTAATACGATTTTATCAAGTTATCAAGGTAAGTACATGATTCCATAGGTCCCGAAAAATGTTCCGCAATTGTCCCGCTTCACGTCCAGGACAGAGTTAACATAATTAATTTTTGCATTTATAATTTAATTTATGAAATAATTAATATTCTTTAAATGTGGAGCACGTTTTCACCTGGTTATCGTCGAAGATTAAATTTAAATTGGTAAAAAAATTATTATTATATATAGATAATAATAATTTAAATTTATTAGAAAAACAACATTGAGTAGAGGTAATACAAGACATTTTAACTTTTTTAGACAAAATATTTTAAATTTTGAATATAAAAAGCTTAAATTGATGTTTGTTTTACTAGTCGTTTAAAAACATTTCTCAGGAATGACATCCCTGAGAAATATAAAAATTTAAAAACATTCCGAATGTTTTTAAACGAGTAATATAATATGAGCTTTTTATATTCATAATTTAAAATATTTTGTCTAAAAAGGAATTTCCTCTACAAGCACGCTTTAAATGAAGTATCAATTTCCACGTTTGTATGGTTGTTACTGTTTAAATTTTTTTAGTTGTTATTTCTCAAGAAGGAAGTTGGGTTACTGTAGAAACATACGTTGAAGTACTTTTTTTGATACATAGCTACGAAACAGAGGCTATATCAAAGTTTTCATGCTTTAGTGGCACTATAGCATGATTCATGCTATAGTGTATCAAAGTTTTCATGCCATGAAAACTTTGATACAGCCTCTGTTTCGTAGCTATGTATCAAAAAAAGTACTTCAACGTATGTTTCTACAGTAACCCAACTTCCTTCTTTCCTTTCTTTTAGCAGCACTATTAGTGCTGCTAAAAACTGGAAATATGATATGACAATTTTAATTAAGTGTTTTTAAAATGCAATTGCTAAATTTTAATTTTCTTTTATATTTGTATAGTTATTATTTAAAATTTTTGTTGTTGTTGTTATCTTTAAAGATTCTTCTGCAAAACACCACAAAATAAGATGATTCAATATCATTTAATGGTACTCCCTTTATGGTTTTAGGATGTAAAGTGCTTGATTGTATGCACGGGAATGATAGAAAAGCCTCTTCTAAAGAATTTTATAAAATTCATTTATTATTATAATATGTTTTTCTTTATCAATTTGTTTCTAAAATAGCTCCTGTATTTAATGATTATATGTCTAAACCTTTTATTTTTGTTCTTTTGTCTAATTTTCTTAATAGGTATCAGATCACAGTTTTTCAAAAAGCTAAAAAGTCAGTCCTATATTAACTATTCAAGACATACATGCATCAACTTAAAATATAACCAATTAATTTATGCTAGTTCTTTTTAAAATAAACTTTGTTTTAGATTGCTGAGGATACTAAATTTAGAAGAGTGCAATTCTCAAACCGTATTAAAGATGCTTTGTCAAGAATAAAGTAGTAAGGGAAAGAGTGTTTCCAGTTTGCTTTCCTTCAAAAAGTTCTCATACTGGTCATTTTACTAGAGATGTAAGATTTCTTTTTTTTTTGTGTAGATAAAGTTAAACAATAGATTTTAAAAGAAAAAAAACATTAAAGAGTTATCCAAATTAATTTTAATTTCTTGTTTGCCTGTTTTAAACATCTTAAAGTTAGTTTATTATTTCAAACATGTTATTTAACTTGTTTTGTCATATAACATTTATTAAATTTTAACATTTATATTAATATGTTTCCATTTATTTAAACCAACAATAAGGTTGTAGTAAATCTTAATTGCTATTTTTATTGCTGTTGTTTAGGAACTTTAGATTTAATATTGTTTAAAATATGTATAAACTTTCTTGTGTTCAGTATATATAGTATATCATATTTAGTATCTTGATCCAGATTACTTAAGGCCTTAAATTTAAATGCCTGCTCCTACTGATGGTTTTGTTATATACTCGGTATGTTCTTGTACTATTCCTAATATATGTAATATTGTTCATACAAACTTCAATATTTTCACCAGGGGTGGGTTTTGTCACTCACCAAGGAGGTGGCTAAAATGGTTTTTAAAAAAAAAGGTCCGCATTTTTTCACTTAAAAGTGACTTTCTTTAACTTTTTGTACTTTAGTGTAATAATTAAGTTCATATATGTATAATTACCTATAATAGTCAATTACCTATAATAGTCAATCCCAATGGGGGGCGGGGGCAACTATCCCCATGCCCACTCTTAAACTCGCCACTGATTTTCACAGTCTGCTGAAGCTATTAAGTGTATCAATGAAGAGAACTGATCTATCAATCATTTTTACTAGCAATCAATAAAATATCTCATTGGAAGAAGGAAGAAGGAAGCTTGTACTATTGTAAAATAAAATGATATCTGTTTCTGTAGCATTATATATATTAAAGTGTACTTTATTTTAGATCAAATTGCATGATTTCACATTTATCTTTATTAAAACTGATTAGCCTTTTTTTTTTCCAGTTAAATAAGATGTCAAGATCAAACTGTGTAGAGTGATTTATTAATTTTTTTTCTAATTGAGTTATTTTCTAAATTTTCAAAATATTTTCAAAAATTTCAAATACTTCTTGGAATATGCATCTTAAATATGGAATTCATATTTTAATAAAGATTTAAATTTTATCGAAAAAGTCCAACAAAAAGCCGCAAAAATTGGCTACAAAAGAAAGGGAGCAAGTTACGAGCAAAGATTAAAAGAAATGGGCTTACAAAATCTATCAAATAGAAGAGAAAACAGCGATCTCATTAAAATGTTTTAACTTATAAACAACCATGATATTATCAATTAGAACTGCGTTCCACAAGTATTGGGTAGGCTTACAGAGGCCACAATCAAAGGTCGAGAAGACATTTTGTTAAAAACTTTTTGTTGAGACCAATTTTTTTTACAAACCATATACAGTGGGTTGCCAAATTATTTGGGACACTTCACTTTTTAAGTAATTTTAAAGTTTAAATGATTTTTGCAAGCAAATAATTTTTTTTAAATAAAAAGTTTTGAGTGTATTTTAGTCACTAATATAACTATAGTTGTTTTTAAACTGTGGCAATTTGTGATAACCCGATCTGTCAAAAAGTTAGGTTATTACTCAATTAGCTGTCAATTTTTGAAAAGTGTAGTTGAAAGTCAAAAATTCAAAATTGATTTCAGTTACTTATTTTTGGAACAATTTTTTGCAAGTTTTTTGAGTTTAAAACTATTGAAACCTAAATATTCGTTAATAGTTCAATTAGTTTAGTTATTAATTTAGTATTTTTGCTACTTTTAATGCATAAATCCCTGACATACAACTATTCTTACCTCTCGTTAATTTTTTTAGTCTCCAGACTTAACCTCCCAAAAAAAACAGAAAAGTAAAAACCTTACTTCTTCATTCTACACATTCTCAGAGAGAGGTTGCAAGCGTTTCAAAGTCAGTAGTGAGTCGAATTTAAAAAAAAAAATGGTACAAATGTGACTCTAGAACCAGACCATGTCAGCAAAAGTGGCAGTAAAGGATCACTACTCCATGTTATGACCGTAAATTTAAAGACATCTGTCTTAAAAACAGAAAAAAAAGTGTGGCTCAACTAGCTATAATTATAAACAATGAAGGAATTAACATCTCCAAAAGGACGGTTCAGGGACGGTTGGTTGAAGAGAATTTAGTGTGCTATTGTCCAACCAAAAAAAGAATGTTTAACTGAAGCCATGAAAAAAAAGCGGCTGGAATGGGCTAGAAAACACCAGAATATGACACAATTTGTAAAATTATTTTACGTTCATTTATTTATTTGTAACAGTAGTATAATCACTGGTAATGTGTTTAATGATAACAGATGTATAATATTAGGCTCGAAGATGTTTTTAGTGTAAATGGTAATAGGTGACTTGAAAAATTGTTGTCAAATGAAAGAGATAGATTTAGGCCTGATAAAATTAATTGTCGTTGAAATGTAAGAAATTCTGCTCGATGAACAGAAAACTTACTTGCCAGAATTCATTGTCAAGCGGTGTTGATGTTTATTAATTTGATTTTACATTAGACACTTAAGAATAAAGCAAGGTATGAATTTTGCTATTTATAGTAACAATTAATAACAGTTTCAATTTTAAATGATTTTAATTTTTTTTTTTTTTTTTTCCAAACATAATTTTGTTCTTTTTTTTTTAGTTGCCTTTATCATCACTTGATTATTTTGCTTACTGTTGAAACATGGTTTTAATTTTGTAAATTTAATATGATGTGAAATTTACTTTATTAATCATTAGTCAATAGTTAGAGAGAAGCTGAATCTTAATTAAGCAATGCTGGAAATTAACTTTTAATTCAGGTAAAAATAATTTTGTTTATTGGTAGCATAAAATCAGTTACTGTTTTTTATTGCATATCTTTTTTACTTTTTTTAACATGCTGCTTTTGAAACACTTCCTCTCTTTCTCTTAGATGAGACTTAAATGACAGTAAGTACAGGGAGAATTGATAAAACTCGTGTAATTACTGAGCTCTTGCGCATTTTTCAATACTACAATTGATAATGACCATTTATAAGATATATTTTACGAGTTGCTATTTAAAGATATAATTCTTTAAATTGTTCAACTATAGTTGTCCCTTGGTTGTTCAAATATTGTAATAAAGAAAATCTTTTTAGTTTCAAGTATTTTACTTTAGGGATTGTCCACATATTACATAATGCGAAATTAAACTTATAAACAAAAGATATATCTCAAAAATCGTGTTTCTCTCATAGCCAACTATATGTTGCATGTTCAAAAACTAGAGCATTTAATAGTTTGTTTTTCACAATTGTTAAACATCCTATCAAGGCAAAAAGTGAACACAAATAGTGTTTACTTTCTATTGTTCTTAATTAATTATCTTTAGATTTTTATTTCGAAAATTTACTGTTAAAGGTTGTGAGCATGTGTAACTTTATTTATTATTATTTTTTTTTCCATAGTTTTTGATAAATATATCTGTCATTTAATATAAAATGTGCTTATATGTCTTATATAAAGTCATATTTGTTTATAGCTGTATATATGTTTATATTGAGTTGTTTCTATGTTTTCAAAGTGGTGTGGCTTGGTATTATGTTGAGCAAGTTTGATAACTTTGCCAGCCTAGAGGTGTACTTATAGCAGAGGTGTGACTTAGCAGCATTTAATGCTAGGCAGTGTTACTGCTTTAGAGCTAGGTTGTGTTGTCTAGCCTTTTTAAATTATTCTGAAAACACATAATAATGTCTGTTAATGTTTAGCGTAATGTGTATGAGAGAGTATGCAACCTAAATCTTTAAATCTAGCGTGCTTTAATGTCCTAAATTTGAAATAATTGAATAACTACGCAATCAAAATTTAAAATATTTATTGAATCGCAATCAAATTTTGTTATTTATGTGCCCCAAGAAGTCCTAACGGTCTTGTCACAGAGCACCGCGGAAATGGGTTTAACCAGGAAGTTCACGCGCCCTTCCTTACTGTGACGCGAAATATATTAAAGGCTCATTTCAAACCCAGATCCCCGGCTTATAAAGCAAGCTCTCTTACCACTAATATATAAATATACCTGGTTTATTTGCACCATGAATCAGTATTATTAACCAGGTTGCCAAATATAAAAACAAATATACCTTATTTAAAGTTTAATAAAAAGATAAATATAACTCTAAAATATTTTTTTAATTTTGCCTTTTATATTTTAATTTAGTTTGTTATTTTCACTGGATTTTATTGCTATGTGTTATTGCTGTAATGTTACTGTTGTGATGTTTTGTGTTGATATACAGCTTGGCTTACCTTCCCGTTGGCGTCTATTGTTAAAAATGAATCATAGGTAGTTTCATTATTGGAATTTACTGCTTTTATTTATTTACTAAAAACAAAGACAACATTTTGCTAAAAGTGCAATTTAAATCTTAGTTTGATTTTTTTTTTGTTAATCCTTTTGTACTTCAAAACAGATTTTATAGTTACATTTTTGATAAAAGTTTATATTAACTGCAATTAAAGTAACTATAAATAGATAAATCGATTTTCAATTTTTATGAAATCGATTTACCAATTTATAGTTACTTATTTTGAAATTTGGTGTTTTTTTTGTAATTATGATGTAATTCCATTACTTTTTATTTTAGATTTACGTTATGACACATTGATAAGATTTATAAAAAAAAACCTGATTTCCTTTTGTAACGGGTGGTTACTAAAAATCCGGACAAACTTTAACTGAATTTTAATGCCACAAGCTAAATCTTTTTTATTCATGTTTATATCCATTTTATAGCTTATTTAATTCTCTATAAGTTAATTTTTTTTTTTTTTTAGATAATTAATAATAATTAAAAAAATAATGATGACCAAGCAAGAAGAGGTAAGAAAACGGATTTACGAGTTCTATTTGAATAATAAATTGCAAGGTAAAAAGTTCACAGTAGCTCACTTCAATGCTGAAAAAATCCCAAGAAGCACTATCTATGATATAATCAAACGTGTTGAGAATGATTCTGGGCACAAAAGAGTGCAAGGAAGTGGTCGTGTGGCCAAAATCATGACCCCTAAGAGGATCAAGCGCCTGAAAGCCATATTTGATAACAGTGACCGAGTTTCGATGAGGCAAGCTGGTCGAAAATTTGGATGCAGTCATTCACATATCATTAAAACTCTTGCCAAGTACACTGACATCAAAGGTTATACAAAACAGGGTATACCTCATCGACAAGAGAACCAGAATGAGCGAATCGAAACTGGCATTGATCGTCTTTATCGCGTTTTTAAAGGAAAATCGGTCATCCTTGACGATGAGTCTTACTTCACGCTGTCACACTCAACAATTAATGGAAACAGCACCTACTACTCTAGCAACAGAGACAAGACTCCACCAAGTGTTAAATATCGCAAAAAGTGCAAGTTCGAACCCAAGGTGCTTGTCTGGCTGGCCGCTTCTGACAAAGGTGTTTCAAAACCATTTTTTATACCCAGCGGCCTTGCAGTCAATAAAGCCATCTATGAAATTAATTGTATTAGGAAAAGATTAGTGCCGTTCATCAACGCTTATCATGCCGATGGTAATTACATATTTTGGCCGGACCTGGCTTCATTGCATTATGCCAAAACCGTGACCAGCTGCTACGAGACTCATAACATCAATTTTATCAAAAAAGTTGACAATCCGCCAGCCGTACCGGCGTGTCGACCAATCGAAGACTTTTGGGCTATTTTGAAAGGCAAAGTGTATGAGAGTAACTGGCAAGCAAAAGACGTGAAACAACTACGAACCAGAATAAAGCTTTGCCTGAAAAAAATTGACCTAAACCTTGTATTTTCACTTTTTGGGTCAACTCGTGTTAGAGTTGGCCGAATCCGAAGAAACAGACTGGTTGAAGACAAACTTAATTAAAATAAATAACTAAAAACTCTTTTTAATGATAGTTTTATTTAATCTCTACCATAAAAACTTTGGGAGTAATTGCACTTGAAAGTTTGTCCGGATTTTTAGTAACCACCCGTTAAGTTTTTGTTAGGTAAAAAGATATATTTATATATATGCAATTAGTTCACTTTTTTTTTTTTAATTTTAATTAAAGTACAACAAATTATTAAAGCCTAATAATTTGTTGTACGTGTCTTAGGGGATCTTTGTAAAGGGGGGGGGGGGGGTCGTAACTAAAAACTTTTAAAAACATGGAGAATACTGTAGTTTTGCGCATTTGTCAAATATTGATTTACTTATGTTTTATTTACATATTTAACTAATTAGTTAGCTTAGTCTGCATTTGCAACACTTTTGAGGAAAGAATAATTGTTTGTAAATAAAAATGTAAATCAGTGTTTTACATTTTTATTATTTTAGTTAAAGAAAAACTTGATTACTCTTAATAAAAAAAAACCTACTCACCAGGCCACCATTAAAGCAAAAAGAGGGGAGGAACCTCTTTACTTGTGTTAAAATATTTAGGAAATTAAATTTTGAGTAACAAAAGGAATTTTTAGTAAATGATAGCAAATGACCGTTTACTAAAAATTAATGAAATAAACAGGCCAAACAAATAATTTAGAAATGGTCTATGTTGAACAGACTTAACAAGACCCGGGTCCGGTCATAGTAGGTATTACTAGTGACTTTCCCATGGACTGAATATATAGTTTACACGAGAGATCTGTAGTGAAATATTAAAAAGACGAAGAGAATTTAAGCTGAAAAGGAAGTAAGTAGTATATATACGGCCAGCCAACTTCAAACTTTAGCTGACTACGAACCTCATTAAATTTTACTTAATGACATTTATTTGAATTTATGGACGTTTTAAAAAATTTTTTACTAATCTATGGGCTATGTAAAACAACAATGACATTAATTTTAGTTCAGCTAGTGGCATGTACGCAATCAAAATTTAAAATATTTATTGAATCGCAATCAAATTTTGTTATTTATGTGCCCCAAGAAGTCCTAACGGTCTTGTCACAGAGCACCGCGGAAATGGATTTAACCAGGAAGTTCACGCGCCCTTCCTTACTGTGACGCGAAATATATTAAAGGCTCATTTCAAACCCAGATCCCCGGCTTATAAAGCAAGCTCTCTTACCACTAATATATAAATATACCTGGTTTATTTGCACCATGAATCAGTATTATTAACCAGGTTGCCAAAATCGGAAACTTAGTTCCATTTAAGTTAAGGGATAAAAAGCGCCTACTTTGTACCTTATTAAAATGTTAAGGCTTGCAACAAAGATTTCTTTTAAAGATGTTAGCAAATGATTTAAAAGTTTTGAAAATTATAAGCTACTTTCAATATTAAAAAAAAAATTTATGGAATACGATAAAAAGTTGAATTGTGTTATTAGTAACATAATATTACCAAATAGAAATAGTTTATCAAATTAAACAATGCATTGGCAAAAATAATGTCGCAATTAAATACGCAAATAATATAAACTTATTTCAAACAATTGTAGGCTAGACTGGGGTAATTTTATCCCCGGGGAAATTCCACCCTCTAAAAAGATATGGAGCAATACAGATAAACTAAAAAAACTTGAACCACTTTTAGCTCATGTTTTTGATTGCCAACTTTCTGTTTCTCACTAAGTATATGCTTCCTGTACGCATACTGATTTAGAAATTTGTTTATGAAACTTTTTTTGGAAATCCAAAATCATCTTCAATCTAAGTACCACATATGTACTTTAAAATACATTTTAAAATATATTTTTATTGATCATCATACTTTTATTAATCATCATTTATTTTTTGGATGTGTTTAATGTGTACAGAGATGATAAAATTTTTAATTTCACAATTTGAACCTTTTCTTGTAAATATCCTTAGGCAACATGTTAATTTAGTAGTATTAATATCTGTATATGGTATTAGATATATAATTATTCATAATTTCAACCAAATAAGACAATTTTAGTCATGGGTCAAATCTCACACCTTTTCATGAAAAACTAGGGAAGCGGCAAATGGAGACGAGAGGAAAGGCCATAAAAAAATAGTGTGGTGAAAGCCTCACTTCAGATAAATGCATTGCTAGGCTCACTAAAGAAAATTAGGCTAAAACCAAGCCGAAAATTGTCTTCATTTCAGGTAAAGGGAAGGGAAAAGACATGAAAAAAACAACAATGAGTGATGCCGCAAACAAACCAATTTTATGCACAATGTGTGGGGTAAATGTGGATGACCCTAAAGTTTGCGATCTGAATGTTATGTATGACCTCCCCGCTAACACAAAACGTTCAAGTACGTTCGAATTTTTTATGAAAACGTGTAGAAATTTTGTTTTATAAAAATTTTGTATAAAGTTTTATAAAAATTTTTATAAAATTTTTATAAAAACCAATTTTGTTTTATAAAAAAATATTAAAATGTTTTTTTGTTAAAATTGTATATCAACAGTTTGCTTAAATATGTAAATAAAAGGAATTCTTTTACTATTCTCTTGTTTTTTATTTTATATAGTGGTTTTTAAGGATTTTTTAGAAGTAGTGGATGGATCCAGTATACCCTACCAAGCAACTTTGTTTGATATTATTTTATCCCTTTTATATTACACTATATGTAACATCTAAAAAAACAAAAATAAAATGTTTAATTTAATTTGATTCACTTACAAGTTAAAAACCTATTTTTAATTGAATATGGTTTGGGACTTTTATTATTACTTGATGTTAGAGCAAAATAAAGTAAATGCAAATTTTATGCTTTAATATTTAATTTAATATTACATTACTTCCATGTGATTGTGCCCATCAGGACATCAGGGTTGCATACTTCAAAAGAAGCTTTTAAAAAATTGCATTAATTGACCCTTAAGCCTGAGATGAGGGCCAGTTTTATCTGTCCTTTATATGGTTGGCTGATCTGCTTTGAACAAAACATCTTTTGTATCAAAAAAAAAAAAAAAAAAAAAAAATTAAAAACATAAATTAAAACATATTAAAATATAATTAAAACATACTTTTAATAAAATATAAAGCTATATAAAATTATATCTTTGTACAGACTTACATATAAATCAAAACTTACATATATAAAAAAAATATATATATATTTATATATACATATAAAGGGGTGATTGATTGATCTTCCCTATATTTAAATATATGCATTCAAATTATAGCTTATTTAATAATGTATGTTGTTCTCCTTTCAAATTAAAATTTGTAAAAATAAAACTTTTAAATTACATCATTGGTTACTAGTTTGAGCTTAAAAGCTATAAAAAAAATTGTAAACTAAATGTTTTACATATCTATCTGAACTCATAACTTCAAAACAAAGTAGAAGATCAACAGATAGTAAGTTTGTTTGGTTTAAAATTTGAACCTTGCTTGACATAAAGTATTGGATCATATCTGCAATTTGTATTTGGAACAGCAATCTATATTAAACAAAAAGTTGACCATTTTCAGGCGCTTGCTTGACTGAACTTTAAATGATCTTAAATTACTTTATCACAATTGCTGTTGGCGTTGAACTAAATTTCCATTTGAACTA